GATTATATATCATTTGGGGCCTAGTTTAACAACATGAAGATCATATATCATTTGGGGCCTAGTTTAACAACATGAAGATCATATATCATGTGGGGCCTAGTTTACCAACATAAAGATCATATATATGGCATAGTTAAGCAGTACAAATGTGAACTCTGATACAATTTAAACATTAAATATAACGATTGAAGATTTTATTCAGTAGTTTGGTAGCCAGGACATATGTTTAGATATCAATAAATGGATTTATCAGCTGAACCTACGAATATTTTACGCTGCATTATATTACGACACCTCTTAGAGCTGTGTAAAACACGGTTGATGTCTGGTCATTCTTTCCTAAAGTCATGACTTCAAAGCAGTGCCGGATTTAGGCATAAGCTAAACAAGCTATAGCTTAGGGCCTCACAATCCGCAGGGGCCTCACAAAATTTTTGATTGGTAAATATGTAATCAGTAAATGCATTCATTTGAAAATAATTTGTATTTTTCACTTTAAATACATTGCTATTAAATAATTAAAAGGCATATATATATGTTTTTAATTTTTTTGTGGCGACCCAAGGTCCTGTTTTGGTACGCACCTTTGTGAGACCTTCTGGTGTAACTTTTTAACAATGGGTCTCCAAGCTTTATATAACTTAGGGCCTTACCAAATCTAAATCCGGCACTGCTTTAAAGACGCGATTAAACTCTCGTCACCACTAGGCAATTATTATAACTTATTTCTAATACCTTGTAATAGAGATTTTATATATATATACGTAGAGAGAGACAAATTAAAATGATGATTCGAAGTTCTTTAAAATTAACGGACATAACTGTTGCTGTTAGTAACAGTTTGGTTTGTTGTTAATTTCGCGCAAGGCTATCCATCCCTAATTTAGCAGTGTAAGACTAGAGAGAAGGCAGCTAGTCATCACCACCCACCGCCAACTCTTGGGCTACTCTTTTACCAACAAATAGTGGGATTGACCGTCACATTATAACGCCCCACGGCTGAAAAGGCGAGCATGTTTGGTGTGACGGGGATTCGAACCCGCGACCCTCAGATTGCGACTCGAGCGCTCTAACCACCTGGTCATGCTGGGCCAGTAACAGTTTACAAAAAACATCTCGAATCCTTAGTCGTGGGTTCGATTCGAGTATTGAGATGTTTTCCCGGAGATTTTGGATATTTTCTAATAACTTCTGAGTTATATACCCCCCCCCCCCCTTTGTTATATTTTTGAAGTATATGTTACAAAATTTTACAAAAGTAAAAAGAAGATGAAATGTCTAACGTTATATTGAGCACTGAAGAAATATTCTGTTAAAATCCAACACAATTTACAAATTTCAGTTAAATATTACAGCACGACTACTGCATACTCAAAAATGCACATGAAGCTTTAATTGAAAAAAAAAATCTTAACGCGTACGCTTTGTTCATTGGAACCTGAAAAACAACAAAACAAGGAATGTCAAAGTTATCTCTTCTGACGTAAGCACCAAAAATCTGCGCGGATCTCCTCTGACGTAAGAATCTCGATGTCCGAGTGTGGAAAGACTTGTAAGAGTATAAAATGAATGCTCTGCTCAACAAAGGAGAAGCTTAGTGGCGAAACCGATTTGGTTTCTTCTTCAGATCAGCAACAGAAACTCTTCTGTTTGCATATGCTTTCCAACCAGTAATACCAGGTCTTCATTTGTGCGCGGATGCAGTGACTGGCGCCATGTTCATCAACGTGTAGGGGAACGTGAAGAACCTAAGGAACACGTGCAAAGTTGTGAAGTGCACGTGATAAATATGAAAGGTGGAAAAATCTTGCCCTACATACATGACATGCTGCCTAATAAACAAAACTTGAAGTTCAGGAGAATCGTATAATTGTTGATAGAAGTATTGCTGTTATTGGAATGTTATCAGTATGACATGCCACTCTCATGGCATTTGGACAAAGTAAGCGCTAACACCAAGGAACACAAATAAAGTCTAGAGCTACTGGAAGAGATGCTTCAGTTACTTTCATCAATAAAACAAGTCAACAAGTTGCTTGTTATGTTAAAGAATATGATCCAGAACGTTATATCAGATAAAGTTAGAAGTGTTGGTCTGTTCTTAGTACAGATTTGTTCCACACAAGACACCACTAAAACTGACCAGTGTGCTGTAATAGTGTGCTTAGTGGGAAAATAAATGAACACAAATAAAGTGTGAGATGCTTCTGTTACTTTCATCAATAAAACAAGTCAACAAGTTGCTTGTTATGTTAAAGAATATGATCCAGAACGTTATATCAGATAAAGTTAGAAGTGTTGGTCTGTTCTTAGTACAGATTTGTTCCACACAAGACACCACTAAAACTGACCAGTGTGCTGTAATAGTGTGCTTAGTGGGAAAATAAATGAACGGCTGGTAACTCTCGTTCCATCCCACGACTACAGTGGTAGTGGACAAGGACTGTTCGATCCACGACTACAGTGGTAGTGGACAAGGACTGTTCCATCCCACGACTACAGTGGTAGTGGACAAGGACTGTTCGATCCACGACTAGAGTGGTAGTGGACAAGGACTGTTCGATCTAGTAAATAGCGTTATTGTAGATTACAACATTGATATGAACAAGTGTGTTTGAAACACCACATATTGAGCACCAGCTTGCCATGAGCAGTATAGTGGCTTTCGGGAAATTTTCTCTTCTGCTGTGAATATAAACGTCCACGTGTGGTGCTATAAACATGTATTATTTTAGTTGTGGTAGGTATGTGTTACAGCAATATAATTATCCAATCTGTTGCAGAAAGCTACAGATTTCTTCAAATGTTATAAGCGAATGTATATCTGGAAAACAGAAACTAAGAGAAAGTTAGGGGCAGTCAACTTGAAGAGAATTGAACTGATAGGTGAAACAGGACATCTACAGACCACTCCAAGGTTGTTTTCCCAGATCTGATCAAGTGCCCCTGGCTATATTGCTGCCCCAAAAACAGAAACTAAGAGAAAGTTAGGGGCAGTCAACTTGAAGAGAATTGAACTGATAGATGAAACATGAAAACCAAGTGTATCATCAACTGTGTTCAGGACATCTACAGACCACTCCAAGGTTGTTTTCCCAGATCTGATCAAGTGTCGCTGCCACAAAAACAGAAACTAAGATAAAGTTAGGGGCAGACAACTTGAAGAGAATTAAACTGATAGATGAAACATGAAAACCAAGTGTATCATCAGCTGTGTTCAGGACATCTACAGACCACTCCAAGGTTGTTTTCCCAGATCTGATCAAGTGTCTGGTTATATTGCTGCCCCAAAAACAGAAACTAAGAGAAAGTTAGGGCCAGT